TAAAGAGACTGGTTTCTCTTGTAAATAAGAAAAAACATAAACAAGACCATAAAGTTGCATTTTTATTATTATTATAATTATATAAAACAAGAGGAAAAAAAATAAATTTTAATTTTTTGATATAATAATAAATTTCAAGTTTATATATAAATTGGATGATAATACGTACGTAATCAAAACTTGTTAAAAACTTCTCGCGGAGGCCGCCGTATGTTGAACAAAAAGTACAAAAAGAATTACGCTATATAGCCATAATTGCCTTCTTAATAAATGATCGTCGTCGATCTGTTGCCTCTGTAATAATAATCATTTGAATTCTGAGTCAAATGGCACGTTAATATATTAGTTCATTCATTGAGGATCAGTAATAATTACGGCAAACACTATAATAATAATTTCAAAACAACATGTTCCGCTATTTTGCCAAAACCTCAATATATAATTTCATTACCAATGATTTTTGTCACACATTTATCTTTGAATATGAAAATGATTTTCATTATGTCACATAACTGCGCAAAATAATGAGGAAATTAAAATTATTAGTCTTGTAACTGATTTATATATTCCGCTGTGATAGGTTTGACTGTATCCAATAATTCAATATTAAACACTCAACATTAATGTTGAATTATTGAGGATTTACTTTCTTTACAACAAGAGAGCTTAAATTCTGAATCTATACTAGCTTTATGCTTTCCATTCTTTACCAAAATTACTGCTTTATCCTCGTCTTGTACAACTTCTCCTATGATTGGAGAAAATAAATTCAAATTTCTTACATTAAAGATATATGTCAAAAAAATAAATGATGATTAATAGATAAACAAATTAGCTAGAGAAAAAGACTTTAAGGTAGGTATGCATCCTGGTATAAGATTTTTTCGCCATCTAAAGAAGGAAGTTCTGGATTTGCAGGATCTGGTTTTTGTCTTGCATCAATATCCAATATAGGATGAAGGGGTTGGTTTCCGTCAATGCATTCATGTAAATCAGGTATTCCATAAATTTCAGAAGGATGATCTATTGCTGTAAAGCCTTTTCCTGCAACCCGAATTATATATCGAGAATTAATCTCTTCTGGATGATATGCCTCCAAGAGTGCTATATTCTTTGTATTATCTTCCGAAGTAAGTTCACCCCGTGCATTAGATGGAAGCAAATATTCAAAATACCTATGTTCTCCATGGCCAGGTTTGTAATTAAGATCGGTTAAACCAGAGAGGAGTTTCTTTGCCTCGCCATATTCGGCCGACTTTTGATTCAAGCACTGTTGTTGTAATGATTCATGGAGATATTTTTTTGCTTCACTAGATAAACTCATTTTATTGATTTGTATATATGCGTTAGTTGTATATGTAGTATATAGTTATAAACTAAAGAATTATACTTAACCCAAAAATAAAAGTGTTATACTTGACCCGAAAAACTTTAAAATGAAATTAATTATTCTATATCATTATTATTGACAATAAATATGGGACTCTATCGTTGTCCTTATATTCTTAGAACTGGTAAAGTCTGTGGTCGAGGTTGTAATCAACCAGAAGGATGTAAACTTCATCGAAATTCTCCTACACGGATTCCTTGTAAAGAATATGGTTGTGGTAAGCTAACTTATTCTAAATATGGTGCATGCCGGAATCATGCAAGTAAGTATCGAAAAAGAGAATATTATCAACAAAAAAAGCAGGATAAATTGTGTATACAAATTGCTATGATTGAGAATCATATACCCGACTTACCCGATTCTAGACATGAAGTATAATCATCTGCTTGGCATATACCGATTATTTTTTCCAAAACATCTTTAAGTAAAGCTATATCCTCTTTGATCCCATTGATATTTTTAGTGATTTTATTACGTAAAGCTACGGATTTCAAGGCTTTATTTCGGGAGAAATGACACTTCGTGTCTGATCGATATCGTGTTTTATCTGCATCCATTTCTCGATAGAATTACATTAATTGCCACCCATTCAATTTTTGGGTATATATACTGACCTGGGATAATTAATTTCGATTTGAAAAAATATATTCCATAGTTATAGTCTGCGCAAATATCCCAATCGACAATGTCAAAAGTTGCAACAAATTTGGTAAATCAGTATAACTTAACTCCTCAGATGAGTATAGCCGAACTTAGCAATTATGCTGAAGAATTGGTTAAACATTTGAAAGATGCAAAGGCCCGTGATCATGCACGAAATCGGATCCAGAAATTAGGATTTAGTAAAGATCAAACATATGCTTTAATTCCTGTCCAAACTTCTGGAAGACGCGTTACAGGTAGGGAATCAGTTAAAAAACTTGCTTTGTATATTAAGGAGAATGAAGGTAATCTTGAAGCCGAAGAAATAAATGAATTGGCTCGTAATTTAGCAAAAACGGGCCCTACTGAAATAGCCCAATCTTCACTTCTTAAATTGCTTCGAAAAGAATTACGCCAACTCAATGCCAATTACATTACATTAGAAGCAATATATGACCCAGAGATTAGTCGTGCATCAAATAAAGAACAAGAGAGAAGACAAGAGCTTCGTGAAGATGAAGGATACGATCGTCCTGAATTCTTTACTCTAGAAAAAGTACAGGGACGACTTCAAAAATGTGACACAGCTAATCCTCCTACAATAACAGGAGGGAACGTACTGGGAACACAAAATTAACAGGAGGGAACACAAAAATTTAACCCATGCAATTTTGTGA